AATACATAATCTATCTAAAATTCCCTTGCTAATGTTACATGTAGATACCTTCATGTAATATTTATACTTAAGTGCACAAAAAAATAGTTTAAGAAATTAACATTCAGTTGAGCTAAGTCTCTATTTTTATTACTCCTTTCAGTGAAAGGTGTTTCTACTTTAATGCCATTAACAAATCTAAATGGCGTAGAGTATCTCTCTTGAATCATATGCCACATAAAAAAATCAATAGATTGCAAGAAAGTAGACATATAGATTTTCCAAAAATCAATTGAAATATTATTAAATAGCATGGAAAAGTTATAGAATAATCTTCTATGGTATTTCGATTTCCAAATTGTACCATTTCATTTTTTTCTTAGAGATTTTTAAATCCCAATTCTGAGACTCATTCTGATATTGAATGAAAGTTAATGGAGGGTGTTAAGCTTCATTAAGCAATCCCTATGCACACCAATAGGGGGTGAATTGGTTATTTAAAAATAACTTCAACAAAAAAAATTCTTTTTGAAAACTTTCAATGGATTAAAAATAAATAACTTTATCACCTGATGCATAAGCAAATTAACTAAATAATAATTACAATAATGATGATGATAATTTAATTAAATCAATAGAACATCAACCACAAATCTTTCAAAATGCAATTTTTAGGAAAATAAATTGTAGAAAAGTAAAATGCAGAAATTAAATATTAGAATGAGCACACAAGAATTTTATAGTGGTTCGGTCAAACAATGACCTATGCCTACTTCCTAGAGTCCTCCACTTCAAGTATTGCACCAACTCTTAATGTCTCTCTTTTAACCCCCACAGCAAGGCTGAGAAGTCAATACAAGAATCACGTCCACTAACCCAATATGGGGGAGAATAAGAATCTTTTTACCCACATGGTGAGATAGAGAACCTTGGAAGCTCTTTTCACCCTCTTAATGAACGCAGCAAACCTAGAAGCATTTTCACCCTCCTAGTGAAGCCAGAGTATCTTCTAATCCTTTTTTTACCATCCTAGTGAAGTCAGAGAGTCTCTGACTTTGACATTGAAGCTTATCTTTCTAGAGCAGCCCAAGAAGATCCATAGAGCCCTGTAGAGGAATCAAGGTACAAGCTTGATAATAAAGACCGTGTGAAACCCCTACACTACTTATCCCTCTCACAATCCTTACATTCTCCTTCTCCAATCTCAAAGATTTCTCATTGTTCTCTCCAAGAATACCTTCAACGGCCAAAGTTTCTCTTTTAGAAAAATATTATGAAAAACTTTAAATATAAGGTCATAAAAAACCCTAAATTTTTAATTCAACTCAAACTGATCGTATAGTACAATCCATATTCATATAATACAATTAGTTCTCTAATGCAATGGAATAGTCCTAGGACAAACTGTTCAAAATATGTATATCGATCATAAAGTACGATCTAGAGATCGTACAATACGATTAGTTTAATTGCATCTTGATTGTACATGACAATTTCGGGACCATTAAAAATGACTATACCAATCATCCAATACGATTGCATTATACTATATGATTAGTACAATATTCAAGGTTTCAACCAGGACGATCACAAGGATGAACACTTTTCATCCAGCTTATCATACAGTACCATCATCTAAATTAATTAAGCCTTAATTTTATTAACTAATCACATAAATTAAATTAAGTAAGATTTCAAATATTGTATTGCATGAACATGATCAGACATCACGATCAGTCCAAAGATCAATAAATTAAATACTTAATTTTGATTTGCATCAAGGGTTACTATTCTAAATAGATTGTACTATACGATATAGAATGTATAGTACAATTATTTTAAAAAAAATTTAATTACAAAATTAGCCATTTTAACTTGTTTAAAAAATAACTAATCATACAATACAATTAGTACAAAAAGTTCAAAAAAACTATTTTCTCACTCCCCTATGTGTGTGCGACTTTGGTTACATACACATTTTAAAGAAATTTGATTCAATAAGTTAAAAAAATAAATAAAAATTACACTCTTATCAACCATATTCATATTCTAACCAAACTTGAGCCATTAGGCTTCTTACATTGTGTATGACGTACTTTAAATGTTTGTACACACAAATATATATTTGCAATATAAAATAGTACAATAAATGAAAATACAATCAATAATGTTTGTTATCATCAAAATCACAAGCTCGGAATCATGGATTGCAACACATAAGCTCTCATCCTTTAGACATTTCATTGATCTTGTGATCAAAGAATCTAAATCCTAAACTTTTAATAAAATGCCAATTCAAACACCAAATTTTTATACCAAAATTATAAGGCCAAATCATAGGTTAGTTTGAGGTTCTTCTTATCTACTACTTTCTTCCTTTGACACTTTAAAAATAAAATGTTCCATATTTGAGCCTATCCCTCTAGAAATTTTCAAATTTCACTAATTCTTGATCATAAACTTTGAAAACCATAAATTTGATTATCATAATCTTAATTGAAAATTTTCTTAAGGAACCCCCATCTCTTAAGATATAATTAACTACAATGGCTTGCCCTTGTAAAGAATAAGTAACCTAGCTTAAAATAAACTCTACTTTATTTAGCTCTTAGATAAAGTAGAGGAAGAATATTTTGGTAATGATTGACTATAATTTAAATTTTTAAATATCATTATTCTCATGTTTGAATCCTTATCAAAATGATATCTCCATCCTTTGGGATGGTATGTCAGTACCTATGATGATTTGATTACGAGATTAATGAACATATCTTAATTATTATAATTGAATATATAATTGGATAATAGTTTAATACCCCGTTTATGATAATTTGGTTACAATAATTAGGATATTATTTATATTTTTGTATTTGAATACTTTGAGGAATAATATTTTTATCTTTTAAGATAGTATATTATTTGCAATGCTAAATTTAATTACAAAATTAGAAATTCAAAATTATATTGAACTAATATTTTTCCCCAACAAATAGATAGTTAGGGAGGAAATACATATCTCAATGCCATCATATTTCTTAATAATGGTGTGATGGTCACAAATTTTACTTCTTTAATGATGCATAGACACCATATACTTGAATTCATATCAATAAAAAAGATAGATGATTTTTTCCTAATTATTTTATTGACAACCTATCTATATATTTAATGATGTATTATCATCTAGTTCTTAATGCTAAGTTTTCAAAGGTACTCTCTTATCATTTTCATATAAATTTGATTTGGTTTCCTTTTCTGTCAATATCCTTTCCTTTCAGACATTTTTAAAATAAGAAATACGATGACAAGTTATGATTATTATTATAAGTTTGTGTTTTCATGAAAATCTCTCTTCTTAAGCATCTCTACTCCATTTCACTCCCCAAGCAATATTTAATAGCATAAGTAAATCTATATCTTACCAAAAAAAACAAAAAAAAAAAAGTAAATCTATATATTACTATTATAAAATTGGCTTATATTTTCCTTCATAATGAATACCAAACTTTAAATTCATGATTTAAATCCTAACACTATGTCATATAATAACATTATTTATCATATATTTTATTTTTTATCATATTTTTTAATTACAAATAACTAAAATAATTTTAATTTTAATATGTAGATATTAATACATATTTATGCTTTTATTAAAGCTCTTTACTTGACATACATGATATCTCATCAACTTTAACAATTATTTAATTTTCATCTTCACAAGAGAATTATTTATCATGTCTTAAGACAAAGTACAACTAATTGAATTGCTATCAGCAAAACTATTGAAAAATAGAATTCCCAAAGTGATTTTAAAATTTTAGATTACTCTTTAATAATTATTGTGAGGTTGTATGTGACACATTTGATGGAAGGACTTTACTGACAAAAATATTGATAACAAGGGAGGCATGCACATATGTTTATATGTTATCTGCGCATACAAAGTAAATTACTACTACAGTTAACAATAGAGGTGCAGAAAGCAATGCAAGCGTTAATGTAGATTATGAAGTAAATAATATCTTGAGTTCGTGAGTGGTCGACATATCCATAAACAAAAATAGAAACTAGTGATGATCACAAAGATGCCACATACAAAGTGATAATTATATATATATATATATATATATGTATGTATGTATGTATGTATATGTGTGTGTGTAATCAATGCAATTCGAAACATAAAGCGAGAATGTTGCAATGCAAAACAATTAAAGCCACTGCTCCATCTACTAGGCCAGTTGACAAAAAAATGGAAAACGAATTGCAATGGTACTATTAATAGCTCCAAAGATGTACAAATATATTGCTACAAATTCCCACAGGTACTTTCATGTGAAATTGTTTGATCATATCAAAAATGAAAATAATGAATATATTGTTTAAGAATGTTATAAGAGCTCACTTCACCTCATCCTTGATATAAGCTTTGAATTGAACACATAAAATACCGAAGGCACGGAGATACCTTTACACGAATAGGCAGAGTCTAGCCATTAAGTATTAGGGAAGAATTCTTCTCCTTTTTTTTCTTTTTCTTTTTTCTCTAACATAATCTTGTCAATCATGATTTCATCAAACTTGGAATTGGAGGTTTTTTGTCTCTAATGTTTGATTTGCTTTTTTATCCCTTTATGTTGCGATAATTCAGAACAAGCTCAGTGGATTCGAGACAGTAGCATTGATGATGCGGTGCCTTACATTATAGCAGGGGAACGACTTACCATTTTGCACATGGCTTGGTGCAGCCACTAGTATCAAAACCGTTATCTTACTTTTCCTTGTCAGCTTTTTACCTACAGCTTTAGGCATAGTTTCTTAGCTATTTACAGTTTTAACCACAGCTTATATTACAGGAGTCTGTAAGGAAGAACGGACATATAGAAGAATATAGAATTCAGAGAACTTCTCTTTACTGTTCCATTGCATGTTCTTCCCCTTTGGCTAACGGTTTTTGCAAGTTGTGCGAAGTGAAGACGTCAGTTGGTATCAGAGCACACACACCTGGGCCGGCGTCAATGGCGGAATCTAGCCGACGAGCTGCTTCCGACGATGATCGAAGCTTAGACGCATTGTGGGCGTTGCAAACCACAATCTCCAATCAGCTCACTGCCCTTGCTGCCGATGTTAAGCAGCTGGCGTTGGAGATCCGAAGAGATCGTCCGACCCGAGAAACAGTTGATCCAAATGCACTGCGCGGCCCCCGGGAGCTCAATGTAGGAAGGATGACTGGCAGTTTCGAGCGACGGGAGCGAAGGAACATCGCGACGGGTTTCCATTTTTCCGATTCTGACGACGAACCCCTGGCACACAGAGAAGTTCCCCCACCGCAGCCAGTTAAAAGATCCGACTCGGACGAAGATGGTGAACTTGATTATCCATATCCTGCTCGGCGAGGTAGGTATCGCCAACACCGCCCTCACCAGGAATTCAGAGTCAAGCTCGATATTCCCTTCTTCGAAGGCCGCCTGCACATTGAGGATTACCTCAATTGGGAGCGTTCCGTTGAGACCTTCTTTGATTACATGGACATTAGTCCTGAAAAGCAAGTGAAATATGTCGCGTGCATGCTGAAAGGAGGAGCTGGGGCATGGTGGATGCAAGTCGTGCAAAATAGACGGCGGGAAGGAAAGGGAGACGTCCGCAGCTGGGCCAGGTTGAAGCAGATGATGAGGTCTCATTTCCTCCCAACGGATTATGAACAGCTCCTTTATGTCCGGTATCAACATTATACACAGAATCATATAACTGTCAGTGAATGCACTGAAGAGTTCTATCGCCTCAGCGCTCGCAATAACCTCCATGAATCGGAAAAGCAGCTCGTTGCTCGGTATATCAGGGGATTGAAAGAAGCCATACAGGATAAACTCGAGCTCAATTCCGTATGGACACTATCTCAAGCTGTCAATTTCAGTCTCAAAGCAGAACTACAGTTGAATCGACCTTCCCGTAGTTCAATCTACCGTAAGCCAGGGGTGGAGCATTCATCCGAACAGAGACCGAGTATCCAGAATACGATGACCACCCTAGTGCCATCAACGGCAGGTGCGAACACAGGATATACGAATGATCCGAAGTTCCCACATAATCCCAAACCACCGGGCAAGAAAAATCCATATGTCAAGCCTTCTACATTGAAATGCTTTCGATGTTTTCAAGTTGGCCACAAATCAAATGAGTGTCCCACCTGGCCTCAAGTACAACTTATTGAAGGAGAAGGCGACGATAAAATTGTAGAAATTGCTGGCGATGACGATCAAGAAGCAGAGGATGTTATAGCGGATGAGGCTGACCCTGTTATGTGTGTGATGGAACGATTTCTCCTAGCTCCAAGGATGCCTAATTCGTCACAGCGCAATGCCATTTTCCGTACCCGCTGCACCGTCAACGGGAAGGTTTGCGACCTGCTCATAGACAACGGATGCACCGAGAACATCATATCTCGTGCTCTCGTTCAAGCCCTACAGTTAAAGACAACTAAGAACCCGCACCCTTATAAAACCAGTTGGGTAAAGAAGGGAATCGAAGTGCTAGTAACTGACATGTGTAGAATTACCTTCTCCGTCGGTAAGAGCTACAATTGTGAAGTTCTTTGCGACGTCCTTGAAATGGACGTCTGCCACATTATCCTAGGCAGGCTGTGGCAATATGATAGCGGAGTTGTCTATGACGGACGCCTTAATACCTATTCGCTTGACTGGAAAGGCAGGAGGATAAGGCTGTTGCCAAACAGAAGCTCTACTGACAATTCATCCAGCAAAGGCAAGGCCACGTTGCACCTGGTTACCGGCAATATCTTACTGGCACAACAAGCTAAAACAAAGCTTTATGATCTAGTCGTAACAGACACATTGCCGCGGTCAGAGGAGAACCAGTTTCCTGAAGCTGTTACTTCGGTACTTAAGAAGTTTGAAGATTTGCTTCCCACTGATCTTCCCGCAGAACTACCTCAGGTTCGCAGCATACAACACCAGATCGATTTCGTTCCCGGTGCAAACTTGCCCAATCTCCCGCACTACAAAATGAGCCCGAAGGAGCATGAAATCCTCCAAGAGATGGTCCAAGAACTGCTAGACAAGCAGCTAATACAACCGAGCTTGAGTCCATGTGTCGTCCTCGCATTGCTTGTTCCAAAGAAGGACAATAAATGGCGGATGTCTATAGACAGTAGAGCCATCAACAGAATTACGACCAAGTTCCGCTTTCCGGTACTGTGTCTGGAGGAGCTGATGGACAAATTAGCGGGTGCAAGCTACTTCTCCAAATTGGATCTCCGGGGCGGATATCATCAAATTCGGATACGACCAGGTGATGAATGGAAGACCGCCTTCAAAATAAGCTCCGGGCTGTACAAATGGTGTGTGATGCTGTTCGGTCTCTGCAACGCTCCGGCGATGTTAATGCGAATGATGAACGAGGTATTGAAACACTACCTTAACAAATTTTGTGTTGTTTATTTCGACAACATATTGATTTACAGCAAATCACTGGGAGAACATCTACAACACCTCCCCACAATTCTACAAGCTCTCCGGGAGAACCAATTATTCCTCAATGCTGCAAAGTGCGAATTTGCATCCACCCGGGTATACTTCTTGGGATTCATTGTATCGGCGGAAGGAGTTGAGGCAGATCCACAAAAAGTAGAAGCTATTGCCAATTGGCCTCAACCGCGATCATTATTCGATGTCCGTAGTTTTCACGGTTTAGCCAATTTTTACCGCCGATTCATCTGTGGTTTCAGTATTTTGATGGCTCCTCTTATGAATTGTTTGAAGCACAAGCAATTTTTATGGGATGAGCACAAGCAGCGCAGCTAGGAATCGATCAAACAGGCCCTCACGACAGCCCCTGTTCTTACCTTGCCCAACTTCGAGCTACCATTTCATGTAGATTCGGATGCATCCGCAATTGGAATCGGAGCAGTGCTATCCCAGTCCGACAAACCCATTGAATACTTCAGTGAAAAACTGAGCCCAGCTCGGCAGCGGTGGACTGTTTACGAGAAAGAATTATATTCCGTAGTTCGAGCTCTCAAACATTGGGAGCACTATTTGCTACACCGGGACTTTATGCTTTGCAGCGATCATAGAGCTCTCCAATTCATCCATACGCAAAAGACTATCAACCGGATGCACGCGAGATGGGTGCTTTTTCTCCAAAAGTTTACGTTCGTCCTCAAACACAAGTCCGGTCAACAAAACCGGGTTGCTGACGCTCTCAGCCGCCAGACGGCATTGTTGACACAATTACAAATTGAAATTACTGGGTTAGAGTCCTTACAAGAACTATACCCCACTGACCCCGACTTTTCCAGCACTTGGGCGGCCTGTTCGAAAGGAGGCACACACGGTTACTTCTCTATTCATCACGGTTATTTGTTCAAAAATAATACACTCTGCATTCCTACATCGTCTTGGTGACATCAATTAATTTTGGAAGCTCATTGTGGAGGGTTAGCAGCCCATTTGGGGCGTGACAAAACTCTAAGTCAGCTACAAAGCTGTTTCTTTTGGCCAAAGCTACATCGCGATGTATGCCGTCTGGTCGAGCGGTGTCCGGTATGTCAAGAATATAAGGGGGCTTAGTATAACACGGGGCTCTATACACCGCTACCCGTCCCGTAATCCATTTGGAAAGATATCAGCATTGACTTTGTCCTCGGCCTTCCAAGAACCAAAAGAGGTTGTGCTTCGATCATGGTGATCGTTGATAGGTTCTCCAAGATGGCACACTTTGTGGCTTGTAAGAAGACCCTCGACGCCGTTCACGTTGCTCGCTTGTTCTTTCACGAAGTCGTCCGTCTACATGGATTACCCCGGAGCATAACGTCCGATCGTGACATCAAATTTATCAGCCACTTCTGACGAGAATTCTGGAAGCACCTCAACACCGCCATTAACCTCAGCTCTGCATATCATCCGCAATCTGATGGTCAAACGGAGGTTGTAAACCGAACATTGGGAAATATGTTACGTTGTTTGGTACAAGGGCACCCGAAACAGTGGGAAGAATTCTTGGGGCAGGCAGAGTTCGCTAATAACTCAATGCCCAACCGGTCTACCGGAAAGTGTCCGTTCCAAATTGTCTACACCAAGAGCCCAAACCATATCTTTGACATTATTGTGTTACCAAAATGCTCGGACAAAACAGCCGCTCAGTTGTCAGAACAGTATCAAGAGGTGATTACTAAGGTTCGAAGTAAATTAATTGACTCAAATGCCGGCTACAAAGCAGCAGCCGACATTCATCGCCGTCAACAGATTTTCGAACCAGGAGACCTCGTCATGGTTCGAATGCGCAAAGAGCGCTTTCCCTCCTGCACATATTCTAAACTCAGCCCTCGTAAGCTGGAACCAGTCCCCATTCTTCGCCGTATCAACGACAATGCCTACACCGTCGAACTACCTCCCCACATTCATACGTCGGAGACATTCAATGTAGCAGATATCACCGCGTATCACCCGCCGGATGACGCTACTGTTCATGTGGACATTGACAATTTGGGAGAAGGAGGGACCTGATGCGGTGCCTTACATTATAGTAGGGGAACGACTTACCATTTTGCACATGGCTTGGTGCAGCCACTAGTATCAAAACCGTTATCTTACTTTTCCTTTTCAGCTTTTTACCTACAGCTTTAGGCATAGTTTCTTATCTATTTACAGTTTTAACCACAGCTTATATTTTAGGAGTCTATAAGGAAGAACGGACATATAGAAGAATATAGAATTCAGAGAACTTCTCTTTACTGTTCCATTGCCTGTTCTTCCCCTTTGGCTAACGGTTTTTGCAGGTTGTGCGAAGTGAAGACGTCAATTGAAAATTACACAGTTCACATTTACATGAAGGCAGTAAGTTACATTAACAAAAAATAAGTAGGTATGTTGTAGGGATATATTCCCTTCTTTTGTTTTGTCACCAACACAAACCTATCAGTGTCCTTGAACCTTTTCCTGCTCAGTAGGGTCTGCGTGGTCATCAAGATTGGTCTGCTTATCAATGTCCTTCCTCTCAAATCTTGCAAAACTCTGCTCCAGCAACAATACATCATACATGAACAAGATAAAAGGCATGGAACAAGTGAAATAGAAACAACAACAATGAAAACAAAATATTCTTACATCGACACTAAGAAGGGAAGCTTTCTCTATATCAATGTCCCTTCTCTTCTTGAGCATGAAATGCTCCTTTGCAATGGCTGATTTCAACATCTTTCTTTTCCCATCTTGTTGACATCTTTTCTTTTCACTCCTTGAAATGCTACTGAGCTTTGGATGGCCAATCGCTTCCACTGTATGGCCTTTGTCTCCTTCAACGCATGACTCTTGATGAGTTCCAGGAAGGTCATTGACAACTTTTTCATAAGTCTCCCCATATATCTTATCATTCATTCCCTCTATTTCCCATCCCTTTGATACAGCTAGTGTTTCTAGATTTACAATCTTCCTCTCCAAAACAGAAATTCGTGCAATTTGTTTAAGAACAACTTGTGTAAGGCTCGCTATCTCAGAAGAGTAGCCGCTTTCCACTTTTGTTTCCCATGTTTCCTTCTCAACCTCCCCATCTCTCCGCTCCATTCCTCCATATCCAGCTCTGATGTGATATCCCATCACTTTCGGGTTTCCAACCAAAGATGGATCACCTTTCACTACATTAGAAGAAGCTCCAATCTGAGATAACATCTGCTCCACACTATTCAGGGATATAAGTTCAAACTCATCACTTTTTCGGGAGAAGCCGATGGCAAACCTATAAGATGGATGAAATCCTTTTGAAGGAAAAGGCAAAACATAAGTTTAAATGTTAGCAGAGCTGAAGTTAACATCCACCTTGTCTACCATTATGTCTCCAAACCTTTGGAGAAAAGGTTTTCTCTTCCAGAATTTACATCCTTTTGCCCATTTTAGCATCCTTGGTTTTACATCCGGATTAGAAGGCTTTGAATCCTCACCAAAATTAACATGCTCAAAAAACCATGCCTAAACAATGCAAGTCAGACTCGGGTAAAGAATGAAGTGCAGTATATAAATAATAGAAAGGTTTGATTGGTTAGTTACATTGATTGTGAAGCATAGACCATTCATGTATCCGACTACAACCTCCTTCCCTTCATTTCGTTCCTTCACAACCTTAGACTTCACATTGATCTCTTTTACATGGAATGAATGAAGTGCTTCAGCCCAATTAAAACTTCCAATCGAATCCAGATTTTGTAAATAATAAGCCATGTATCTAGGAACAGTTCGGGAACTAGAAGGGAACAAGACTGAACCCCATAGGTAAAGAATCATTTGCTGAACAAATTGTTTGTCTGCTTCAGGATTTTGATCGTTTCTGTTTCTGAGGATATTATCCAAACTTCTCTCTATATTCCTTATGGTCAAATATATACTTTGAAATTTGGAACAACAATTCGAAGCTAAACTTGGCCTCACTACTTTTTGGCCTCGGTTAGGAAGGCCAATAATCAGAGCAATGTCATCCACTGTGAAAGGTATTATGATCCCTCCAATAAAAAAGCCACAATGCTCCTCATCCCAGAAGCCCAACAGTGCATCCACTATTTCCATATTCATATCAAGTTCCATAATGTCTTTAATTAGACTTCCAAATGGAGTTCCTGTTCTTCTTAGTAATGCCCATTCCCGATCACCAATTTGCCAATTTCGTAATCTTTTCGTAAAACTTGCCAAGAAACATCTGGATTCTAGAAGTGGCAGTTCCTTCTCATGTGGAAAAACTTCTACTTTATCGACTGCATTCCCATCAGGAAAATCATCCAGAACATTCTTCCTCCCTTGGGTCCTAGGAATTGCGAACTTTTTACAAGCCATGACTACACCACAAGGGTAAAAACATCAAATATTTGCTAAGGAATGCCAAAGATATCAAGAAAATATAATTTTTTTTCTTTAAACATTTAACTTTAGAAGGGAAAGATTTAACATTCACAATAGATACACTAAAACATATAAACATTAAGTAAATGCCATCACTTTGAACCAACCAATAACCTAAGTTGTAAATCACTTATTTGAGCAAGATATAGCTTCTGTCTTCATTCCAGACCTACCAAGACCAGCTGCTACTTTTTCCCCCTCGAGAGAAAGAAATCAATCCTAGATTCCGATTCTGAGAGGATGCCCACAACTCCCAGCTTCCTTCCTCCGTCCCTCTCTCTCTTCAAGTGAATCGCACACAAAGGTTTCGCGCGGGATCCGCTCCCTCGATCTCTCTCGCTCTCTTCCTT